ATTTTGTTGGCAAGTAGCAAAATCAGGTGTGAGGATCACATATATCTGAAAGGAAGTTTCTGTTGATCTATGAGGCTCATGAAGAAACTGCACTGTGCTTTCAGTCCCAGAACTTACAAGTTTCTCACTCATCCTTGTCGGGTCTAGATCTCTCATTGCTTAAGCTTTAGGCATTTCATGATTTTTAAAAATGGCTGTGACCATGCCTGACTTCAGCCAGCAGCTGTTTGCCTGCCCTCCCAGTTTCACCCTCCCTGGATAGAGATCTCCAAGGGAAGCCCTGGTGACAGGAGACACTCTTAACTCATAAAAACTAGCACCCCATTTACTCAGTGTGCCCGCAGCCCTATCTTCCCCTGGGCTGTGGTGGTGCCCATGGTCTTCATTTGCATCCATCATTTTCATGTGCTTTGCACTCAGCTATGCTGGTATTCAGAGAAAAATGCTGCCATGACAACTGCCACAACAGATGGTATTTGATCAGTCTCTAAGTTACCAAGGAGCTATACAGCCGCACTTCTGAGACTTGCATATTTTATGCTATCGTGAGACCCAGTCCAGCCTTAATCATGATTGAAATGTTAAGTTTTCCATTTGCCTCTTATCCCTCCTTCTCTTTCCAGTCATTTGACATTTGTTTTGGTTTTCCTTGCTCTCTGGCTATCTTGGGTGGAGATCGACATCTGGATGTGAGAGACAAAGGCTGCAACATACATAGTTCATGGAAGTTGCCCTGCCAAGTCTAAAGTTCAGAGACTGTTGAGAAACTATTCAACTTTGGGATGGAGATTCTGGCTGAGACAGGGAGAAAGGCTTCATTGCAGCCCTTTTCTCTTGGGTGTTCATGGACTACATGGGGTGGAGGCCACATATGGCACCAAACAAAGGGAAGCCCTTGGAAGTGCATCTTGGTCTAAACCTGCTCATTCCTCCAGCATCTTTCTGCTCCCAGGGTCTCTGAGCCACATCGTGGTTCCACCTTCAGGCTTCCAGCCTCCGCCCCAGCTAATGCTGTAAACCCCAGGATCTCCATCCCAGAGCTATGGCAACAAGTACAACAGCCTCCTCAGCCTGCCCCCTCAACATCACTGGAATGTCAAACTTAGCACACATTTCTTCAGCTAATTTTGGAAAGTAGTTTATATTGGCCGCTATGTGTTAATGAACAGCCTTGGCTGTATTTACATACTTGCTGGTTAAGAGCCTTTTCCTTTGCTCTGCCTCCCAACTTGAACCGGGTCCTCATCTCGCACTGCGTGTCTGGATCACACATGAGCCTCGTTAAAGACGAGTCCGTGGACGCCCTCGTACTGTATGAGAGCTGGGCTCCTACCACCAGGCCGGTCCCCTCTCGGGGTTTGGTGGCAGTTTGCAGTCTCATGGCATATGAAGATGGGTTGTTTACCTGGGCAGTATTTGGAAGAAAACTTTAAGGTGAAATTTAATCACAAGAGCCTGGATCAAAGAAGCTTTCTCCCCTTCTGATCTCATTCCAAGCGCAGCCAGGAGGTTGGAATCCAGGGCTGACCCTGCTCTGCTGCCCGGCTCCGCTCTCTTCCCGGGGTGCAGATGAAAAGCGTGTGGGTCTCGGCCGCCTTGTCAGGAGTGATTTCTAACCTCAATGAAACATTATTAAAGAGTGGATTTGAGGCTCAGGAATGTTTTTTGAGCTCCTCTGTGAGCAGAGAATTCATAATGGAGGGGGGAAATTTTCAGGGCATTAGATGGGCTTATGAATCGTCTTTTAAATGATGACCCAAGTTCTTATTTTTGGTTTTAACAAATTCAGGGAGTGCAATCTGGCCATCACATATTGCTCCCTGCTTCACCTCTTAGGTCCTAAGACTTAGGAGAAAGCGCCCTCGGTGCCCTTAGCCTCCTCACTTCACCTAATGAGGGAAGCTCCTAATGCTTCCCTTGTGGATATGCTCTGCATATTGCTCCCTGCTTCACCTCTTAGGAGAAAACACCCTCGGTGCCCGAGGGAAGCTCCTAATGCTTCCCTTGTGGATATGCTCTGACTCTCCCTGGAATGGAGGGATGTAGGGGTGTGTGGAATGTCTCTGTGGACCTTAAAGAGAAGCATTATAGAAATGTGGGCTGCTGGACAGGGAGGAGGACTCTGACCGCCAC